ACACCCACACCCACCCACACCCACCCACACCCACACCCCACCCTCGTCTTCTAGCCATATGCTTGGGCCTTGAGTAGTTGTTTCTGAAAGATGACTTCTTCTTTCATGATATTCCTTAAAATGGTTGGTCTGAAAATTGAGTCTTCATCGTAAAAGAATTGCTTCAGTAAGTATCGGATGGAGAAGAAGATCCGCAATTAAATAATTTATATAATTGATATTTTCGAGCAAACCATTTCATTCACTCATGTATTATGATTAGATCTAGGGGTGTTGAATTAGCATTATTATTAAAGTTAGTATTAATTAATGCAATGCTCATGCTAACCCGCCATTCTTAATCTAGAGGGTTCTCTGAACATCTTTCTCGACAACTCTTAAATTTTATGTAATTCGAATTTATTAATAAAGAAAGATTTTTTTGCAGATTATCACACACGAATCTTATTCTCGTCAGTTCTTTTTCTATCAGCAATCACCTTAGGATCACTTGTCGGTTTTGCTCTTTAATTATACCATGTTTCCTGTTGTAGCGCTGACCTATTGTTTGCCTTTTCTTGTCCAGATCTCTGAGGATCATCTTGGTATGTTGAAGTAAAATATCATCGTCGACTTGAGATATGGCGAGATCGACATCAGTCACACGATCATTCCATAAATTTGTTCTTTCGAGATCGAGTTGAAGTGGTACATCGCGGAGACTCACATTAGCATTCAACACATATACCATCAATTGTTTGAACATTGAAATCTAACAGTCGATAGTTTTGAATGCTTCAACGATGTTCTGTTTTTCAAATGTTGCATGAGAAAATACATTGAGAATCCATTGGGTGTGGGAATGGGGTGTGCGTGTGCGTGTGGGTGTGAATTGGGATGTAGTTGTGGATGCTTCTTACCTTCATTGACAATCACAGCCACAGCCACAGCCACACTCACACCGACACCCACACCCAACCACACCCACACCCTTCGAAAACCTTTTACTCCTCCTTACAGACACCGATGGTTTTACCCTGTAAGAAGTGTAACAAGATCAAATCGCACTAGAAACCTTTCTTTCGATCACATCAGATATTGCTTACTTTTATTTGTCAAACTTTACTTACGTAAGAGTCAAAGCCAACTGACGAGTATTCTTTTCGGGGAACATGAAATCTGGATCTTGGCCTACCGAGACTCACCCTCACCCTCGCCCTCAAGAATGTATATGGACTTTTCGAAATAATATTAACCACCATGAGCATAGTTTGATTTAACTAACGAAATCATTTTTTGTATATTTAATTATTTGTCACCTAACTAGCATTAGAAATAGTTTATCTTTCTATCAAATTTTCTTAAATCTAAAACAAATCATTATATCAATGAATAATCACGTTCAATACTTCAGAAGGTGTACAATTCAAAAGCTCACAATCTAGTGAGAATCGAATGTAAAATTTTATCCAAAGAATCACCTTTTAAATATCTCGAAAAAGTTGAAAAAAAGCTTCAGGTGAAAATCTTTGAGAATGCAAATTGATTAAAAACACTTACATATTTACCTGAACGGTTAGCATATACCGTAGACGAATCTTTTTCGAGTTTAACATCTAAGCTAAAGTCTCATTCATTATCATTACATTCAAAACGAAAATATTCACGTCATTAATCTCAAGAAAATCCGATGGTATAACTTATAGAATGGCTATTTGTGTCTAATGAAAGATGTGAGTTCGTTTCCTATCGCCTGCATCATGCATTTTACTCATTCTCTCGTAATGAATAAAATGTATCGTGTAGTACAAGCGGAGCTCTGAGTCGGTGGACAATCCGACCATGATGTCAGCTAGATAATACCTAGAATGTTGAGAGATTAAATGATTAAAAATCAGTTGATATATCATAACTCTGTCAGCCTTTTCTCTCAACCATTTGCACTAAATAACAGTTGTATCTCTTATTGATAACTGCAACAGAGACGCTCGAGCAAATGAACACCCAATGCGTGCCAAGTAATGAAAATATTTTTAGTGTAGCGGAAAATATTATATCGCAAAGAGTATCAATTAAAAATTTCTATACGAAAGAGTTTACTTTTTCTCTTGTTCCAAACTTCTTCTGTGTATTTAGACGATTCGCACAACATATTCCATTTGGCCGTCTGTACACTGTTGAACATAACGATGCAACATTCGTCTGACTTCTCCTACGACAAGTGTAAATGGTAGAGGTATTTCGAGGCGACGTGCTTCAATCACCTGGTAGAGTCGCTCATCAATGTTTAAAAGAGCAGGCAGAAAATTCTTGCAGGCTTCTACCAGAATCCACACCTCATGACAACTTAATCCACTTGTTATTGTTCGTTCAGCAATGGTAAGTGGTTTGGGATAGACATACTGCTCTTCATCAGCTGTTGGCTGTCGTTGTGCCTCACCCAAATGACCAGACAGACTCATTTGTATGGCCTTGCCAAGCGTCTCGAACATTAAATTGTGCGATCGGTTGATGATATCCTGAATTCCATATGGAGATTGGAGTTCAAAAAACTCTTGAACAAGAATATTACCCGTTTCATAATTCTTCGTTGTGTAATGCCATGCAATACCCCAACGAGGCAATTGCTGTAGTATTGCTCGGGGGAAAATAGTGCTTCCTCTGTAAAGTGGTAATGGGCTTGGATGTCCGTTGATCTTGATCGAGCGATGAGCAAGGAAGGATTCGGTAAGTTTATAGGGAAAGTGCCAGGAAATGACAAGATCA